GAACATGCTCAGCAGAGGCTACGCTTCAAGTGATTCCCCTGTAGAATCGATTCGGATCTACTCTGAGATGAAACGACGACGCATCAAACCAAACAAGCTCACCTTTCCGTTTCTTCTCAACGCTTGCGCTTCGTTTTTAGGTCTCACGGCGGGGAGACAGATACAAGTCGATGTTTTGAAACATGGGTTTGACTCCGATGTTTATGTCGGGAACAATCTGGTTCATCTCTATGGTTCTTGTAAGAAAACTTTGGATGCTCGGAAGGTGTTCGATGAAATGCCTGAGAGAAACGTTGTCTCTTGGAACTCGATCATGACTGCTTTTGTAGAGAACGGGAAGTTTAGTTTGGCAAATGAGTGTTTTGCCGAGATGATTGGTGCAAGGTTCTGTCCTGATGAGACGACGATGGTGGTTTTGTTATCTGCTTGTGTCGGTAACTTGAGTTTAGGGAAGTTGGTGCATTCACAGGTTATGGTGAGAGAGTTGGAGTTAAACTGTAGATTAGGTACTGCGCTTGTCGACATGTATGGAAAGTCTGGTGGGTTAGAGTATGCTAGGTTAGTCTTCGAGAGAATGTGTGACAGAAACGTTTGGACATGGAGTGCGATGATTGTAGGGTTAGCACAGAATGGATTTGCTGAAGAAGCTCTTCAGCTTTTCTCCAAGATGAAGAAGGAATTATCTGTGAGACCAAACTACGTGACGTTTCTCGGTGTTTTATGTGCTTGCAGCCACGTGGGGTTGGTGGAGGACGGGTACAGATACTTCAACGAGATGGAGAGAAGACACAAGATCAAGCCGATGATGATTCACTACGGGGCGATGGTGGATATCTTGGGACGTGCAGGACGGTTAAACGAGGCGTATGAGTTTATAAAGAAGATGCCTTTTGAGCCTGATGCTGTTGTTTGGAGGACTTTGCTCTCTGCTTGCAGTGTCCATCAGGGAAAAGATGGTGCTGGGATTGGAGAGGAAGTGAAGGAGAGGTTGATTGAGTTGGAGCCAAAGAGGAGTGGCAATTTGGTGATTGTGGCGAATAGGTTTGCGGAAGCGAGGATGTGGGATGAGGCAGCAGAAGTTAGGAGAGTAATGAAGGAGAATAAGATGAAGAAGATAGCTGGTGAGAGTTGTCTGGTACTGGGAGGGTCAGTTTATAGATTCTTCTCAGGGTATGATCCTCGTTTTGAGTATGTATCTGTCTATGAGTTATTAGATTTGTTCAAAATGCACTTCATAAGTGACAATCATATGGTCAGTGACTTACATTCATCTTAACTTATAGAAACAAGATCGATTCAAAAATGTAAAATTTTCTAAGGGTAATGACTTGCTAGGAAAATAATTCTTATAAGCTAGAAGTTTTTTGAAGTAGCAACCATCAGGTTAAACTTTACAAATAAATTATCAAATTTATCATAAATTACAAATCATATAATTAATCATAATATACTCCTTTTCTTTCAGACATTTTATAAAATGCAATCACAGTGTAATTGAAATATATGGGAAGTGTAAAATTAAACCGGAAATATGAATGGATGTGGGATTGGAGCTACAATAATAATAAAAAAAAACACTAGGCAATGGAAATATGGCATATCCGATAGAACATTCTTAATTCACGTTTTATATAGTTTGACAATATATTTTATTCTTAAAAAATCAGTACCAAAAAGAAATTAAATCTCTAGCATTGTTATTGATCTTTGCTTCTAGTGTAGCAATTCCTATTTTTTTGACGAGATTCAAACTACGTAATTTAATTATTTGTAGAGTAAAATTTTCCAACAATGAACTTCAAAATTTTACCAAATAATCCATTAGTTTTAATCAATTAATTAGTAGCACTAGAATTCCAAAAGGTACTAACGACCAAAGTAAACAAATATCAGTCACTCTCACATAGAAACATCCATTGAATGTATTATGTATGTCAACGTTAATCAACAACAACATAATTGATCATCACTAAAGTAATTTCGCCTGATGTTTAATACTTTTTGTATAAAGATGTTTAATACTTTATGTAACTATGTGTATATCTTATGTATAAAATACGAACCAGAATAGCAAAAAAAAAAAGGTTTAGCTATTTGATGTTTAATTTGTATAGGCATCGCATACATATGATACATCTAAGAATTTGTGAACTTGGACACGTATTGATTTTGTTTGTTTAATTTCATAGGTATTGTTAATGTATTCGTCATACAAAAGATAACTAATGAAATCGGATACCATTTTCTTAAAGCAAGCAAGAAAGTAAAGTAAAATGGTTTATGACAAAAATATATATTTGAGATATATTTCATGTGAGTGTGATTGGAGCTGAAGAGACAAGGTAGCCCGTGGAAATATGGCATATCCCTTGGAAGATTCTCATATTTCTCAGCCCATCATTTTGTTTTTCAAATGTAGAGCTAGGATGTAAAATATCTTATAAATATTATCACATTTCTAATTCAAATATCAGAAAAAGTTTGCTAACGTAGGAGGGACATGTAGAGATGTTGTAAGTATTTGTGCGAGTCTATAAAAAAAGCATAAAAGCATCATATGATACCCTCTTTCCACAACACCAGAGTATGACGGTGGTGTTGCCTCTTCTATGAAGAACCTATGGAAGCTTTGAACCCGCTGTCTCAGCATGCGGATTCTTCTATGTATGTAACTAGGGCAACTCGATCGGATCCTTTGGCATTTCTTTCTAAGTAGGATTGAATAAGAAGAAGATGTGTGTATCTTCTTCCATTTGAGAGTTTTTCAAACTTGTGGTGATTCATAGTTTCACTTCTCATGGTTTGTATTATTTGCTTTTTTTTTTAATGTTTTTGATTCTCTCTCCTTCTGTGTGTGTGTCCTATCTGTTATAAAACTTGATAATTAATATTTCGTATCGTTTATGAGTGATGCTGAATTTTGAATTTTAGTGTTGATACTGTATTTCAATTCGATATTGAATTAGTTCTGTCATTAATATGTTAGAGTCTTACCATTCCAATTCGATCCGATTCAAGTTGAAAATATGCTGTCTTTGTAGAAAAGACAATTTTCCTCAATAAACCTCTTTTTGTTGGATCCATTTGCATAACATGAATATACGTATCATTTTACATAAAAGAGATTGCATTTAACATAAGTAAGGCATAATATTTATTTTCAAAATACGCAACCCAATAGTGTTGTAGTGAAATTCATAAATATATCGTCAATAATATTAACTAGTAGTAGTACTTATGTGCATGTGTGCATGTATTGTAGATTTAACTTATTTTTGTCAACATCAGATAAAATAACTAGTCGGGATTGTCAATGTGAGGAACTGAATTCGTATCAGTCTCATTTTGGTAATTTCTAGTTATTTGGCCGATTTATTTATACAAATTATGGATTATTTGGTTAACCATCTCTTATTTGGATTTGTGATACTTCATTTTATTAATTTTTATTTTATGATACTTAATAATTTCCAAGACAAAATCCAGGTTTTGAAATCCAACACCAACATTAGTCTGGACTCTGTATATTATGAAACTACAAAAAGATTGTGCTAGCATTGAAAAAGTAAATAGTTTGGGATAAGTTTAGTTTAGCCTATGGAAGCACTTTTCAAAAGAAATATATAGTATAACCTCTATAAATTAATACTTGATAAATTAATAATCTTTCTAAATTAATAAATTTTATTGGTCCCAACTTGGACCGGTTCAAAATTTGACACAAATGGATAAAATAATAAAATCATATTTTTTTAGAAAATTCTATGTAAATAAATGGGCCCATGAAAATTATAAATTAATAACTATACGTATACATATTATATACATATAAGAATATATATCAATATATTATTTATTTTATATTCACAATGGAATTCTCTTTATATTTTCTTAATACTTATTATATTTTTGATGAGATTTAGTAATATTATGTCCCAAACTACATTTATATTAGATGCAATATATAATATATACACAAAATAATATAATAAAATTGATATAAATGTCAAAATTTGATAAAAAATAATAATTAATGTATATACACTAAAATCATATATTTTATTATTGTATAAAAAATATTTTATAATAAAAATCTAAATAAGAAAACTTTTGTAAATTAATATCTCTATAAATTAATAAAATTTCAAAATTCCAACATTATTAATTTATAGAGGTTTTACTGTACCAGCATTTGAAAACAAATTGTTGAACATTGAAGAGAAAGTTCAGCAAAACAACATAAAATTGTTAGTTACTAACATAATACTATTGAACTTTTGACAAATCAATTAGGTTGTGTCTAGAATGGATTTCACCAAAACAAATTCTTACATAACAAATTTGATAAAGACAATGGAGAATTTCAGTTTCACCACAAGTTGGATAGAATTTCAAAAAAAAAATTATAACACTGGCAGTTTAATAGTACAATTTGGAAGAAAACAGTACATAAGAAAATAAAGGACAATGAGATGTCATTAGGCATCATTAATAAAGGATTGTAGCTCACCAAAACAAATCCCTTATTAGTGAGCTTCCAAAGCGAGAAGATGATTAAGTCAGACCGGAGCATATCTGGCAATGTGGGATTGCTGGCGCTTATCAAATTTATCCTTAAATTATAATCATTTTCATAAATATCTTAAATTGTGATAAAGAAGATTAAATTATCTTTTGTAAATTATTTATAAATGTTTTAAAAAATTTATATTTGTAAAATTTTATAAACCCAACTCAATCCACTGAGACTGAGTACTAACCCAAACACAAATCATTAAACCCTAAATCATAAACCCAAATATTGGTGTCTTTTTTAGCAAAAAAAAGAAGATTGTATTTTTGAGAAATGATAGCTAACTTAGGGTGTTTTAAGAAATTTCTCATAATTTGATTATAATTATTTAACAAATTTAAATCTTTAATCAACCGATTTCCGAGCCATGAAAAAAAAAAACATGGAACTGAACCGAACTTGAACCAGAAACTGAAAATTTCGGTTGGGCAAATTCAGTTGACTTTGGTGTGCCTAGTTTGGATTAACAAAAAGTAGCATTCAAAAAAAAAAAATTAATTCGATGTTAATATTATTACATGGATGTTTTCAAGGTCAACTACAAAAATATTGAAGACTACACTTTCTTTCAGGTTACGCTAGGGTGTCTTAGCTTAGCAGTTCAAGCTCTGATATCATGAAATCTTCCTCCATGATGTTCATCTCTCACTTCTGAGTCAAAAACCAATGACACAGAGCAGACGCTAGAGATGGTCCAAATGATTGTTAGTTCATGATGATGATGTTGACTCAAAGTTAAAGCTTTTCCTATATACGAACCAACCAGAGAGGTCTTTGTTAATCAGAATCTGAGTCAGAATCTTCACTCGCTTCTGGAGTCTCAAGATTACAGAAACGAGCAGAGTTTCTGAGGGAAGATGATCTGCTTGTCTTCGGAACCATTGTTCTCTTTCGTTTTGCAGAAAATCCTTTGGCCGCAAGCGTGTCAAACAAATCTCCCATCTCCATTTTCTTTCTCAAGCCATTGTGTTCGTCCATGAACCTTCACAGAACCAAACCAAAAAAAACATAACAATACATAAGATTCTAACACAGAAGTAAAAGAGAACATGTTTCCCTTAACTAGAGCAAAGAATGAGAAAACAACGAAGACTAGTTTTTATAAGGTGAAGTGTGCAAAAACATTTGGTATCAAGTAGTAGCACCTTTCTCGTATTGCTTTGAAGGCGTCTAGAGTTGCATAAGCAAGACCAGTTTTTGGATCTCGATACCTGTAACATTAACAAATGCTAGTTGTTTAATTGCAAAGCTAAAACATAGTTAGCTTCTTCCAACAAAGCTCTTTGTGTGTGTTTCCCAGTGATAAAGTAGAAGAATAGAAAAGTTCTTACTTGGCAGGTAGTCCAGTAATCACACATACAGCCTTTTCTGGATCTGTAAAAGAGAAAACAAACTATAGTAAAGATAGAGAACAATATAGACTACAGGTAACATAAGACATCTCTGTTCAGCTACACACACCACTAGAGAAAACTACTTACACGGAACAGTCTTAGTAGAAATCTCTGAACTGAATGATGCACCATTACAGAACTCTATATAGTTGCATCCTGCAAGTAAAACCTCTTTTATTGATTTCTACTTTTCTGGAAAGAACCAAAATGAGATGAGAACACTATCTTACAGGAGAGCTTACCATCTTTCGAAAGGTACCGAACTTGAGGACCCTTGTAAACCGCTTTATGCACAATCGCTTTCTTTTTCACTTCTTCTTCCCTTGCTAAAACACGTTCTAAGTTCCTCAAGTTCATGATTTCTGCAAACAAAACCCGAATTTAACCATCCAAGTTTCTGATAAATAAACGGATGCAAGATCATAAAACTCAAACCTGTTTGAGCAGCTTCCAGCAGCATTTCTTCTTGCGTCATTCGTTTCTCCTCTCCTACTTTTTTCCTTATTATTGGCTAAACAAGCACAAGAAAACGAGTTCAACCTTCGTGTAGAGACATTAGTATAAAGCAGATGAATCCTGAGAAGAAAAATAAAAGAAAACCTTTGTTGTGGCTTGTATAGCAGCACGCAATGCATCTCTTTCTGCTTGCCTTACAATCACTGAAGTCCTTGTAGATTTTCTTATGACCTTCTCACTTTCCATATCTTCTTGTGTTTCCTTTTCATCTTCTTCTTCCTTGTCTCCCAATTCTTCAACTGTCTTCTTCTCATCTTCAGGAGCATCTTCCAGCTTCGAAACTAGCTTCTTCTTCTTGTTCTTCTTTGGAGCAGTTTTGCCAGGGTAAATCAAACGCTTCTTTGGCACATCCCTGCAACAATATGCCATGAATTAAAGAGATAACAGCAATCATAAGATGAACTTGGAGAATGGTTCAAACTCAAACCTCTCTTCTTTTTCATTTTCTGCTCCTGCTTCAGGTTCAGGCTCCTATTCCCCAAAAGGCAAACAAGAAAGAAACTTTTAAAAATGGGATCCCAGCAAACACTTTGATGAACACAGAAGCAAGAAACAAAGTAGGTTACATCGTCATTGAAGTCGCTGTCAAACTCATCAGCAACTTCAGCTTCTGCTTCATAGTTATCATCATGTTCTTCCTGCAAAGGTAAAAGAGATATATATAAACAACACCATACAAACAAAGCTCTCTGTATATAGAAGAGCAGGAAACCTCTTTAAGAGCTTCTTGATTCCAAAACTGTTCATCTTCTTCTACTTCGTCATCAAGCAACTTGTTCATTCTACAAAACACCCAAACAAAATCAAAAAGATTCATTCCATTCCACTCATTTTCTCTAATTAGTCCGAGAGGTTTGCTCTTTACCGTTTACCACGTGTAGCTCGGGATGTACGGTCCAAGAACACCATCTGCTCTTCTTTATCGCTTTCCATTGATGACTTTCTCGATTTCTTAGCTTCTGCAAAGTTCACTACTTTAAACGAAATCTGACAACGCACAAGAGAGAAGCGAGATTAGAGTCTCTAACGAGAGCTTACGGGTTGCGAGTTTCGGATTCAAAGGTTGAGACTTTATGAGTCTGCTACCTTCGGAGATTTGTCGACCACGTTCCTCGCCGGAGACTCGCCGCACTGATTCCTTCTCTGGTTAAACTCTTTCAGATGGTTTGGATCTCGTGCGTTATAGTTAATGGGCTTTAATATATTATTGGGCCTTATGTTAAGACAATTTCAAAGCCCACGTTGTACCAGTCACTACTGAAATTACAAATCTTCTTCATGCATGTGAAAAATTGTAGTAAGATTCCTTCTCTGATTAAACTCTTTCAGATGGTTTGGACCTCTCTTAACCTTTTTTTTTGTCTAATTATTTTGATTTTTCGGTATTCTCATGAAAAAAAAGGAAAAAGAAATGGTTAGAAATTCAAGGAAAGATAGAAAGTGATGTGTGGGAGAATATGTAAGCAAATTGGCTTATTGCTTACAAAACACACAGAAACTAGGAAGCCACGTTCCGTGGCGGCCACTCACATGTATGCTTTTGTACTCATAAGAGCATGCCCATTAGTGAACTCCCACTTGGGGTTCACTAGAAATTTTTATTATATTTTTGATGGGACCATGAATAGTGTTGAACCCGTATATTATTTGCTATTCCATCAGTGAATCCAAAGATCAGGTTCTTATGAATGAAAAAAAAATTGTATCTAAAAAAAAATGTATTCAACATATGAGAATTCTTAAGTATATATAGTTAATGGCATATGAGAATTCTTAAACAAAAATTCTTAAACAAAAAAAATTATTCAATATATGAGAATTCTTAAACAAAAATTTACATGATTAATTCCATTATGGCAGAGATGAAAGAATAGGCTGCACAAGCATGAAACTAGAGAATCTTGGTGGAGCTCGCTAATTTCATATTCAAAGAAGAAGAAAAGGTACATGATTAATTCCATTATGTAGAAGTCCTGAACCTATGGCTTGTCTTGGAGAAGCTGTTTCCGCATATGTCATCCATGTGTACCTTTAGAACATAAAAAACACATCACATGATAAACATAAACATACTACAGCTCATAAGTTAACTGAAAGAAGAGTTTCTTTATAAGAAGAACTAACTCTCCAACAGTTCCATCAGGACGAGCTCTTGTGCCAAGATACTTGTTATCAGGATATGTCTCAATAGCATGTCTGAATATTCCACAAAAAAAAAAAGAGCAATTTCCAGAATCAGATCATAAATTGAAACCGACCATAAAACAAAGGTCAAAGAGCTTACACAAAGTTGTCGTGCAAAGTTTCATTTCCCAGTGAGCTTTTCTGGAAGCAAAACGCTGTAGCTATCCTCTGTAGAAAATGAAAAGCTCAATCTCAAAGGTAAACACAAAAGAGAGATCAAAGATATTAAACGTAAAGTTGTAAACATATAAGGTGCTCACCGTTTGCGTTGAGGAAGAGAGAGGCTGCTGGATCATCAGCCGGAGAAGAATCAAGGTGAGAGCGAAGGGAATGATATCTGCGACTGCAATCTACCTTCCACAAAAAATATATATATATAAGCCATGACAGAAACAAACGGAAGAAGACATAAAACTATGTATATGTCCCTCTAACAAACAATACATCAAATCTTTGGCTCTACTTGCTTTTGCAGAGAAATAAATAACACATTGTTTGCTTACAGCTGGAAAAAAATATTCATATTCTTCCAAACCTTCAACAACAGTAAGCTGTTTGCTACCAACATACACGTTATAAACTCTTGAGGAAATAGCTCTGCAAACCAACCAACAACTTTTGATCAGACGTGAAGGTGAAACCATAAACAAAGACACCTGATAAAACAAGTCAAATGCTCGTTATCTCTCTCACTTAGCAACATATACATAAAAAAAGTTTACGCAAATAAGAAGACAAAGGTTCAGAAACTATAACTACCTTTGAGAAGAGGGAAAGCAGCATCGACCAACTCCATCTTGACACCGTTGAGAGCTTCAGCAGCAGGATGAATATCCAACATGTGGAGGATCACTGGCTGGTCTGCACCAAGCATGATACCTCTTGCAATCATGGGAACAAGAGCGTACCCAATTTGTCCTGCGCCAAAATTACAATACTTTCAGTCACAAACAATAAACCATTTCCAATTCATAAAAAAAAAACTAATTTGTCAACATTAACAACTACATGTCATACAACGACATGCCTTTGGTTACAACGACAACAAGACTGCAAAAATCAAATCTGAAACTTCTGAACCAAATCAACATGTCATACTAAAGGAACCCTAAATCGAACCCCCATGAAGAATTACAACCATAAATCGAAACCCCCTTTTTATATTTCGAACCCTAACCCAAAACCCCCAAATCAATTTCGGTTTCTCGAGATCGATTTCAACCTCAAATACGATGCTAGTTAACCATAATTGAACTCAAAACTCACCTAAGCTCGTGGGGGGAGACATTTCGTCCTCGACTGGATGGAGAAAAGCTCCGGCGTTGACTTGAACGAGAAATCACCTCGAGAGAAAAAACCCTAGAGAAAACAGAAAATGAGAAAAAATGAGATCTCCCACGCGAGACCCCTGTTTCGGCTTCTTCAAACAAAAAACGCGCTACCAATCACGTGATGACACGTGGCTTGAACCCGTATCATACAGGTTCACTCTGGCGAACCGGTTCACCGAAATTAGCCAATTTTTTTTTAAAAAAAAATACTGCGGGCCTAGGAAACCGAACCCATGAACCCCTTATGATCTTCTGATGGGCATGCTCTAAGCCACAAACAAATAAGAGAATAATTTCAAGAAGAGCTACGTCAAAAATAGAAGTGTCCGCAGCCGGAAAAATACGAAAAGAAAATAGGAATAATCAAACTTGGACGCTCTATTTATCTCTTTGGACAACTACATGAAAAACGTATAAAACTAAATAAGTGATAAAAACATCTCTGACAGGTCATAATTTTGGTAATCATTAGAAATTTAAAATGAATAAATAAATGTAAGTAAATTAAATACTAAACCAGTTAACAAGTGATATAAATAACTAAATAAGTAACAGCTACCAATAATAGAAAATTAAAAATGAGTAATATTTAGAAAATAAAAATGAGTAACATTTAGAAATTGTAAGCTATAAACAATTTTTTTTTTTTTTTTGAAACAAAGCTATAAACAAATATTAGCCGTTTTTTTGTAAGAAAAGGTCCACGTTGCGACGACAGGTAAATGATTCCTGTGACATTCACACGGAAACAAATAAATCTGCTGATAAGTCTGAGCTCTGAGGAGCTGCCACACTATCTTTTAGCTGCGACATCAATGTCAGACTGTTCACAAAAGCTTAATATCGTACCAAAAGAAAACTAGATAACACCAAAAATTGCATCAAGAATGAAATGATGTAAAATAGCAAACAATCTTTTAGACAGTTTTACATTTTTTCCATTGAAATGTTTACAACAATACCCTTGGTTTTCTAATGTAATATGTTTTCTAGTGTAGACGTCTACCTTTGTCTCATAACCATTTGTGATATAGGTATATCAACACTTCACACGCTTAAGTAAAATTTATAAAAATCTCTCAAGATAATAAAGCACTTCCTTAGAGGAATTGAATAGCAATTAACTAGATAAATATATTACATGCATCATATATATGATCCTCTCAAAAGCAACAATCGATACAATCACTTCTTGATTTGTGCTTGTTGCATTATGTCTTCCAAAAGTAATGTGATGTTGGAATGTGAAGAGCCTCCTTCATCAACAGCCTTGTGAGCTAACTCCCCAAGCCCTTTGGCTCTTCTTCTTCTCTCTTTAGCTTCATCACTATCACCCATTAACTCTTCCACTGCCTTCTTCACTCTTTCTTTATCCACCAACACTCCTACCTTCTCCTCTTCTCCCCAACTCATGGGATCTTCAACACCTGATGGCACACCAACTTTTAATACCTCCACAGCCAACTTATCATTGCAGAATTGGTCTCCAAACAATGGCCATGTGAGCAATGGAACACCCGAGGTGATTCCTTCAAGAGTAGAGTTCCATCCACAGTGTGTTAAGAATCCTCCAACGGCAGGATGTGAAATGATAAGCACTTGTGGTGCCCATCCTATTATGAGAAGGCCTCTTCCTTGAATTCTATCTTTAAATCCACTCTCTGAAAGCCATTCATCTAATTCATTATACTTCTCCCACTTTCTTATGACCCAAATAAAAGGTCTTTGGGATTCCTCAAGGCCAAGCCCTAGCTCTTTGAGCTGAGCCAGAGGAACATTGCATATACTTCCAAGGCAAACATATAGCACCGACCCTTCCTCTTTAGAATCAAGCCATTTGAGACACTCATCTTGATCAATGGCTGCCTTATTCCCCCTCTCGGCTTTGTCTAAACCTAACTTGTTAGACAAGGAAACCGGTCCGATGCTCCATACTTTACCTGCCTTAACCTTCTTGTAGTCTCTAACATAAGCTGGCTCCAGCTCTTCAAACGTGTTGACAATCACACCATAAGAAGTGTTGTCCCCTTCAATCATCCCGTCTAAAAACTCTTTCCAACCTTCATCACTAGTTGCAACCAGAGGAAGCTGAGCTTTTGTGAACTCAACTCTGTCAGGAAAATTTGGGATGGGGAAGTACTCTTTATNACCTTCTTGTAGTCTCTAACATAAGCTGGCTCCAGCTCTTCAAACGTGTTGACAATCACACCATAAGAAGTGTTGTCCCCTTCAATCATCCCGTCTAAAAACTCTTTCCAACCTTCATCACTAGTTGCAACCAGAGGAAGCTGAGCTTTTGTGAACTCAACTCTGTCAGGAAAATTTGGGATGGGGAAGTACTCTTTATTAGACTCTATAGATTCCCAAAACTCTAAGTTCTGGCGCATAATGTGCAGACAAAGAAGGTTGAAGCAACCCATCCCATGAAAGATGATCTTTGGTATGCCAAAGTTCTTGGCGATTCTGTTTGTAAAAGGCAAACACATGTCGCCTATTATGCAGTTTGGCCTAGGTTGAATCTCTTTCAAAAGCTTCTCGACCGGTTCCTCGAGCATATTAATTTCTTTAAAGAAAGATGTTAACGGCCTCGATGAATCAAGCAAGTCCACATTCTCGTGTCCTTGCGGTTCTTGAGATGGAAACTTCACCTGGAGAAGATTGATGGGCAAACCGGACTGAATGGACCGGTTAAGAACGTTCTTGAACCGGGAAGCGTTGTGTGGTGTGGTGACAATGGTTATAGTCACACCTCGCTGAGCCAAGAGCCTTGCAATATCGACCATGGGGATCATGTGGCCTTGAGCCATGAAAGGGAAAAGAACAAAGTGAAGATGAGGATGGAATTGTTGAGATGTTTTGGAAGCCATTAGAAACTTTTTAAGTTTTTTTTTTTGTGTGTGTGTGTGTGTTTGCTTTGATTTGGGTTGTGTTGTGTGTGTAGTTGCTTTGCTTACATATATGTCAACAAAAAGTGGAGCTCAAGGAAATAATAAAAATTGATGTAAGAGAAAACAATAACAAATTGGTTTATTCGTTACAAAACACAATATGCTTTACATATATGTCAACAAAAAGTGGAGCTCAAGGAAATAATAAAAGTTGACGTAAGAGAAAACAATAACAAATTGGTTTATTCATTACAAAACACAATATGGTTTAAAGAGATTTGTATATTACGTGGCTGGGACTTATATGTCGTTTTGTATTCATATAACTATAAGCCAAAAAGAAGTAGAGAAATATTCTTGAGAACTACGTCGAAACGATAGCATAGAATTCACAGCCTCAAGAATCAAATTTGGATAACATAGAGCCGACAGACAAACCAAACTTGACTCTTGATTTCTCTCTATAGACAAACTAGATATTTACAACACCTCAAAGTACCAACAAAATGAACCAGAAGAGATACAAAACACACATGTGACATGTATATTATTGAAGCCAAAGGTATTGTTTACATAGTGTTGCGCCTAAGAAGATTATTTAAATCTGAAATTGGAGTGAAGAGTGTTAGAACTCGAATTGGAACTAAAGAAATTGTTGGAACTTGAAAAAAAATGGTGGAACTAAGTTTAGGTTTCACAATTTATCTTTTTGTTTCATTTATACTAAGAATAAAGATAAGGGAAATTTTCTAAAATGACTCAAATTAATGGTGTTATTATTAGAATGATTCATATTTTTTAAATTTATTAGAATGTTTTTCTGGTTAAAATTGTCTTTGACTATAGTTATAACAAAAAAAATTAATGATCAAAGTGTCCATTAAATTAGGTCGTCAGTTGATTTATTTTTGGAAAAATAAATTTGTCGCACAATAAGTATGTTTTCTAAATCGGATAAGAAAATATAATATATCATAAAAGTGGTGGTAGATTTATTTAAATCGTCTGATTTCTTTCTACAGTAGATTTATTTTGTCCAATTTGTACAGAAAATCGATTTTTGAAATATGTCTGTCGAATGACACAACATATTTGTTAAAAATGACAGATTTTTGTGATCGGTTTAGTTTCGTTGATATATAACCTATTTATATAGTTGGCAGATTTGTTGACTTATTAGGTGGCAGAATTTTTAGTTTACGAAGTGATAAGATTTGTTGATTTTGAGTTGGCAGACTTTAATAGCATTTACTAAATCAAACTATTTTTTTTAGTTTTTTCTTATATCGTGGGAAAGTTAATTAGGAGTTAATTTGTAAATTGATGTGTATTCTATTTGAATCTAGTATTTAATTTTTAATATGAATCTTTCTAATAGTTTGAAGATAAATTTGAGTCATTCTAAATAATTCTTTTACACATAATCCTCATTCCATCAAAAGAGGAGCGGAACTACAACAGTTCTTTATCAAATTATCTATAGCCGCCATATTAAACGTGTCTATTTTAAGAAGCATAAAAAATCTACATCAACAAAAGAGGAGGCCATGCAAATATAGAAATGAAAGCTTCGTTGTATGACTGTTAACAATTTCAATAAAGAAAATTATTGTTTATTTTTATATGATAAACTACATAAGAGGAATGATAAACCATAGTTTACTTAAGAAAACATTATTGGTAACATTTATTTTTAGAACATTCTTTTTATAAACATAATTATTTTTATAGAACTTTAAGCAAATATATTTTTAATGAGGTAATCAATTCTTCGACTGTGCTAGTTGCATTATGTCTTCTAAGAAGAATGTGATATTAGAATGAGAAGAGCCTCCTTCATCCACAGCACTGTGAGCTAACTCTCCAAGCTCCTTGGCTCTTCTTCTTCTCTCCTTAGCATCCTCACCATCACCCATCAATCCTTCAACTGCCTTCTTCACACCTTCATTATCCACCAACACTCCTATCCTCTCTTCTTCCCCCCATTTCATAACCTCTTCAATCCCAGCTCCTACACCGACTTTAAGAACCTCCACGACCAGCTTCTGGTTGCAGAACTGGTCCCCAAACAATGGCCATGTAAGCAATGGCACACCTGATGTGATACCCTCAAGAGTTGAGTTCCATCCACAATGTGTCAAGAATCCTCCAACGGAAGGGTGTGAAAGGATAAGCACTTGAGGTGCCCATCCTCTTATGAGAAGACCTCTCTCTTTGATCCTTTCTTCAAAACCGCTCTCTAAGAGCCACTCAGCGAGCTCATTATACTTTTCCCAACCTCTTATGACCCAAATAAAAGGTCTTTGAGTTTTCTCTAACCCTAGCCCTAGCTCCTTGAGTTGAGAGAGAGGAAGATTGCAGATACTTCCAAGGCAAACATATAGAACCGACCCTTCTTCTTTAGAATTAAGCCATTTAAAACATTCTTCTTGACCAATGACCGCCTTGTTCCCTCTCTCAGCTTGATCTGATCCTTTCTTGTTGCACAAGGAAACAGGTCCAATGGACCATACTTTCCCATATCTAGCTTCTTTGTAGTCTTTAACATAAGCTGATTCCAACTCCTGAAATGTGTTGAGGATTACACCGTAGGATGTGTTATCTGCTTCTACCATTGCGTCCAAGAAGTACGTCCAGTCTCTAGCCTTTTCATCGGTGCTCACAGGAACTTGAGGCTTTGTGAATTGAACTCTGTGAGGAAAACTAGGAACATAGAAATACTCTTTGTCAGACTTTAAATTCTGCAAGATCTCTATGTTTTCACGTAAAACATGCATGCACAAAAGACAAAAGCAAGACGCTCCATGGAAAACGATCTTTGGTACGTTGAAGGCCTTGGCGATTTTGCTTGTATAAAACAAACAAAAATCAGATACTAGACAGCTTGGTCTAGGTTTCATATCTTCTAGTAGCTTCATGACCGGCTCTTCCAGCATGTTAGCTGCTTTAAAGAATGGTACCATGAACTCCATTGAGTCAAGGGAATCTATATTGTCTTGTCCTTCAGGCAGCCCAGCTTCTTGAAATGGAAGCTTCACATTCACTACGTTGATGGGCAAACCAGACTCGATGGCACGGTTTAAGACATTCTTGAACCTCTCTGCGTTGTGAGGCGTCGTGACAATTGTTACGGTCACACCACGTTGAGCAAGGAGCCTTGCAATATCAACCATGGGAATCATGTGGCCCTGAGCCATGAATGGAAAGAGAACAAAGTGAAGAGGAGGATGAACTTGTTGGGTTTTTTGGGAAGCCATAGTGATTTCAGCTCAGTGAATAACTTTCGAGTTTGTATTGTGGGTGTGTTGTTATCGACTGATCGTGAGGTTATATAAGGTGTACAAGACCAACATGATGTAGTCATGACCTCAAGCAACACATAAAGTTGTTAGAACATCCCTATTAGTGAACTGGGGCGGGCTTGATTCCCAAAATTATTATTTTGATTATTATAATTTTTTTTCGTTTGATTTAAAAAAAATTAATAAACGAACCAATCGTGGGTCGTCACGTGTCGTATGACTATGAAACAGTGGTTGAACTTGCCTCTTATCAGCGACCTCACTTGACACAAATTCACCAAAATCAGTTTATTTTATATTTTTATTTTTGAAATTGTGTGAACTTCCTTTTAAAACTTTCAATGGGCATGCTCTCATACGTAAAAGAAAATTACGTTCAAAAAGACGTTTCGTGGCCAATACTTTCTTCCGTGGACATTTTGTGACCATTCTGCGCCTGCTAGTGTTTTTTTATTCCCCTTAAATGTTACTAAGAGATAATTAAAATCAAGATACTTGATCCGCAAGACACATAATCAATTTTAACTCTCTCGGACATTACCAAAATCAATTTGTCTTTGAAACTTCAACGTTCAGTTTCAAAGCCTTCTTCTAATCAAGGTTCGCCCACGGTAATAAGTATTAAATTCAAAAAAAGATTAAGAACCAATGCGAATTAAACACGAAAGAAAGTAGGAAATTTAGAAGAAACATGGTTGGTAAAGAAAGGAAGAAACTTATTAGAAAGAAAACATGGTTGAGGTAAATACGTGTTTTACGATTAATATTAGTATATTGGTTATGTGAATTGATACTTTATAATTTCTTTATATAATCTTAGAAGCATAATATTATTATTATTTTTCTATTCAGGTAAACTATTTTATCTACCAATTACATTTTTTCTAATTCTAAAAATATACTTGCAAGTAAAATCGGTCGAACATGGTTCATTAACTTAAAAATATTAAAGTAAGTCTAAAAGTTCAAAAGTTTAGATACATTCCAAATTTGAAACTTATAATTACAAGAAACAATAAAACACTGCATCATTATTTTAAGAAATTATATATAGTTATTATTTTTAAACATTACTTGCCTCAAAATAATTTGAGATGGCTCTGCCTTTAGATACCAATTTTGATAATAAACCAACCTGCCTTGCGCTGGTCCAATGAATATGTTATTTTATTGATACACCAAAATATAAGTCACTCCAGAATCAACAATAATCTAGTCACAGATTTAAGACAGTTAAAAGAACTTTTAAGTGTATTCTGTCATTAATAATTATTACTAATTCTAATAATGTTTGTTTTTTTTAACTACAAATTTTACTCAAATAGAATTTTATTTAACTAAAATTTATTATATACATAAATTTAGTTAATAAATAGAATAATTATAAAATTTTATTTTTACTATGAAAGTATTAATAATTTTGTTAAAATATAAACCACAAATATTGAATCATTTTAGATCTTAAAACAAAATTATATAAAAAATTGTGGATCAATTTATAAAAAAAAAATTTGACAATGAAATTAATATTATGAATAGTGTTCACTCAAATTTGAAGGAATATTATTCAAAATCATTTTCCATAAAATGATGTACAAAAAGGGATCATCTAGCTTGTTATTCTAGGATTTCTGTGTAAACATTATATGACAACATCTACATAACAAATGTTTCTACACATAACAAGTAAATCTCCCTGTTGTAAAATTGAATAAGAGCCTAGCTAATATAACATTATTTTTACGTATCTTTTGAAACATGTGATGACTTGATCTTTTGAAAGTGAGCAATATAGAATATGAGTGAACGAAAACAAAAGGAAGCTGAACATATCAAAAAGGCTCAAACTCGATTTTTCAGTACTATCTCAAAACATTATCTCGTACAATTTCCCTGAAATGAAATTTATATTAATTACTTGGTTTAGAATCCACAAAAAAAATTCTAGAAAAATCTCACATGTTTTAGGGACGTAATGAGGTTAACTCAGTTTGATAATAGGTGTAATTCGTTTATAAAAGCTTACAGATATGCTTAAAGAAGTCTATGCTAACTTTTTGAAGATGATATGAGTTTGACCAAGAAAAAAAGATGATATGAGAAAAAGAAAGTTATTATTATCCCTGACTTGTCTTCTGCTGGACGTGTTGGACTAAGTCTCATATCCTCCAAATAAAGCAAATGAAGAATGTTTTAATGTTTACATTTCTTTTAACAAAGACATAAATCAATTATTGGATTGTGCTAGTTGCATTATGTCTTCTAGGAGTAAAGTAATATTAGAGTGAGAAGAGCCTCCTTCTTCCACAGCCTTGTGAGCTAACTCTCCAAGCTCTTTGGCTCTTCTTCTCCTCTCTTTTGCATCATCACCATCACCCATTAACTCTTCCACTGCCTTCTTCACACCTTTTTTATCCACCAACACTCCTATCTTCTCCTCTTCTCCCCATTTCATAGTTTCTTCAATCCCAGCTCCTACACCAACTTTAAGAACCTGCACAACAAGTTTTTGGTTGCAGAACTGGTCTCCACACAATGGCCATGTGAGCAATGGAACACCTGAAGTGATTCCTTCCAGAGTTGAGTTCCATCCACAATGTGTCAAGAATCCACCAATAGAAGTATGTGAAAGGATAAGCACTTGAGGTGCCCATCCTTTTATGAGAAGCCCTCTCTCTTTGACCCTTTCTTCAAAACCGCTCTCTAAGAACCACTCAGCGAGCTCATTATACTTTTCCCAACCTCTTATGACCCATATGAAAGGTCTTTGAGACTCTTCTAAGCCTAGGCCAAGCTCCTTGAGCTGAGACAGAGGAAGATTGCAAATACTTCCAAGGCAAACATATAACACTGACTTCTCTTCTTTAGAATCAAGCCACTTAAAACATTCTTCTTGACCAATGACAGCCTTGTTTCCCCTCTCAGCTTTGTCTTCTCCTTTCTTGTTGCACAAGGAAACAGGTCCAATGGACCATACTTTTCCATCTCTAGCCTCTTTAAAATCTTTGACATAAGCAGGCTCCAACTCCTGGAATGTGTTGATGATTACACCGTAGGATGTAGCTTCTGCTTCCACCATTGCGTCCAAGAACTCCTTCCAGTCTCCAGTTGCATTGATTCTCACGGGAACTTGAGGCTTTGTAAATTCAACTCTATCAGGAAAATTAGGAACAAAGAAATACTCTTTGTCCGACTTCAAATTATGCAAGATCTCTAGGTTTTGGCGCATAACATGCATACACAAAAGACAAAAACATGACATTCCATGGAAGACGATCTTTGGAATATTGAATGTCTTGGCGATTTTGCTTGTATAATGCAAACACAAGTCGCAGATAAGACAGCTAGGTCTAGGTTTCATCTCTTCCAGCAGCTTCATGACCGGCTCTTCAAGCATGTTAGCCATTTTAAAGAATGGTACCATCAACTCCAGCGAGTCCAGGGAATCGATATTGTCTTGTCCTTCAGGCAGCCCAGCTTCTTGATATGGAAGC